AAAGTAGAAAGAGAAGTGTCCCCTCCTTAATCCTGAAACCCAAATGGGGTCATTCCTTGAAAGGGGGGGCTTCTTCACACCACACAAAGCTAAGCGGTGGAATCAGATGTAGTGGGGGTGGCCAATTTGAGTGGCTTTAATAGTGGGTCATTCCCAGCAGATCGTCTGGATGACTCTGCGACTTCTCCAGGTTCACAGGCAGCATGTTCGTGTGCACCAGTTGCTGGGGAGCATGGGCTGTGGGGTGTCTTGCACTCCCATCCTGTGACCGTGTGGCTGGCTGTGGTGTGAACAGAATCCTGGCCGCTGGGCCTGACCCGGCAGGGCTGCTCTGGCTTCTTAAATGTGTCGGACAAAGTACTGCTGGCGCTAGAGACCAGGGATAGATAGAAGGAAGACGGATGGCCCTGCGATAGCCTTTGCTGGGTGGCTTGTGTCCCACAGACATTGCTGGATTGCAGTTCCCATGCACCCCAGCCTGCATTGCCAGTGGTGAAGGTAGATGGGAACGCCAGTCCAGCAATGTCTGGAGAGGCACATGTTGTCCAACCATGGTATAAAGAGACTTTCTGTCTTCCTCACGGAAACCTGCTTTCTTTTAGTTTTCATGAGAGCTAGAGAGTTGTTACAAGGGCGAAGGATCCTCTGGATCATTGGCTCTTCCCTTGTTACGATGCACACTTCTGTAGCTCGCTGTCCATCGCGTCAAAATGCCCCTTTAGTTCTCAGCCTAGCAGTTTTTGTAAGGGAGCCGCATTTAAACAAGCGAACAAAATCACTACCTGTGCTTTGTGGCAACCCTGGAAGCTTAAGCAACCTCCCCAGAAGGCCTTTCGCAAGACCATCCTCCGTTTTCAGCCTGGAGTTCCCTTTGTCCTGCCTTGAGTGGACGTTAACGTTAGGCTTGCACTGTGAGGATATTGCTTCATTTCCGCTCAGGGAGCATCAGGGCTGCTCTTCTTCTGGTAGGTGGTGTGGGGCACCTTTGGATACCGTGGTCTGCCTGCCCTTCTGACAGGGAGAGAATGCACACACAAATAGAAGACGCAATTGTGCATTGTCAGCACCGGAGCACTGGAGGAGCGCAGACACTGGAAACACGGCACACATACCAAAACGGCCCTGGCGGTGTGTACTTCAGGATTGTGTTGCTGTCTAAGATGCATTAATGTAAATATGTTCCTGTGGTTGAAGCTCGTAGCACTGTCTTCCATCACTGGACGGCAGGGATCCAGTTTGAAAGAAGGGGAAATGAGGAGGCCAAGGGGCATAGTGAGATGCCTGCCCCCTCCCTGACCCCCACGGTGGAGCGGCCTTTCCTTGATGGGAGGACAGAGGCCTGGGGGCTACTGGGGTGCACCCTGGCAGGGGCCCTACCTAGGGGTGCCAGGAGACATGGCTGCGCTCAGGCAGGAGGGTGTCACATGTCCAGCTTGGGCAGATGTGCAGATCTGCTGGAAGGCTTTCTTGTATCGGGCACAAGGCTAGCCTGACCCTTCTGGTCACACGGGGATGAAAGCTTGTATTTTCTGTGAGTGCCTTTTGGGCTGGAGACGTGGGCAAGGTCTCATTTGCGACTCCCCCGCCCCTCCCTGCCCTGTCACCTCCCCCCAGCAAACAGCATGGCGTGCAGGGCTGTGCTGTTAAGGAAGTTCCTGCCTGGGGAGGTTCAACCACTTGATTGGGCGCACTTAATTTGCTCATTTTAAAAGCAGCCTTGAAGGGCCTACCCGACAGGCCCCTGAAGAATGCGTGCCAATTTTCAAGCTTCTGGGTTTTGTACTTTCAGTGCTGTAGCCCTGATGAGCAGATGGATGGATGGGTAGATAGACTTTCCTTTCTGTTTACTGATCACACGAATTCCCCAGGTCAGATAGCAACTTGTGCATCTGTTTTTCCTTTTCCCTGCGCCTACTCCCCCCCCCCCCCCGCCCAAGACATGCAGCTTCACCGGCTAGCAGGTGTCATTGTCCGCTTCTGGAGTGTCTTCCGCAGTCCAGCCCCCCTGCAAGGCCCGAGCAAACGGGACTGTGACTTGGCTGGGCTCCGAGTCTGCCTGCCTCCCACTTCCCTGGTGTTTGCCTTCCCAGCAGCAGAACCGCGTCCCTCACCGCGCAGGAAGAGAGCCTGGATGTGGATACAGCCTCCTCCTGGGAGGTGTGGCGGAGGTTGCGGGAGGCGCGTGTCCGGAAAAGACAGCAAGCTGCCCAAAGGAACAATCTGTCCCTTCGTGCTGTGTGGCTGGCTTGCTTGGCCTTGGCAGCTGGAGCCGTGTGCTTGCCCCCATCTCTCTCCGCAGCTCTGTGGTCCGATGTTCTCTCTTCCTAGCTGACAGCACAGAGTGGCTCTTCCTGTTTTCGAGCTTGCGGGATGGGAATGGGAATAGGAATGGGAGGGGATGTAGCCAAGAGCTGGCAGCACAAGCCTCAGCGGCCTTGGTGGGTGTTTGTAGCCACAGGGGCCTTTCTCCAGACAGCAAGGCTGCTTCGTCCTGGGGTCCGGCCTTCCGCGACCCCTCACCCTCTTTCCTTGGCTTTCAGCACGCAGAGCCTAGTCCACGTCGTGCCCTTGCTATCAACAGAGGAGCTCGGCCTTGTGACTGTCTTGCTGGAGGCCAGACTTTGAAACTTGGGGCCTTCTGAGCTGGGAGACCATCCTACTGTCTGATGATGGGCTAGACGGGGCTTGGGAGGCGAGGGAGAAATGGCCCTGGGCCTGCAGAGCCAGATGTTGTGGCTTTAAAGGGAGAACAGGCAAATTCATGGCATTTAAGGCTCCCAGTGGTTTCTCCTTCTCACTGTTATGGGCTCAGTCCAGTGCATCTGGAGCGCACTAGCCTTGGGGGGCCTTCAGTCTGTTGTGGCCTGCTCTTCCAAGGGGTGGGGTGGGTGTGAGAGTGGGTAGGGGCATCCCGGAGCAGTGCCATGGGAGCCAGTGAGCTCAGCGCAACTGTTTTCAGAAGCAGATGGGGTTGAACATGCAAGATCGTGATGCTGAAAAGGCATCAGGAGGTTGCGGGTGGCTTGCCCTGACTTGGGAGCCCAGGTCTGGAGACAGAGGCTTTGCAAGGCCCGGCAAGCAGGGGCTGGCCGACCCCTCATGGATTGGGGTCATCCCACAAAGCTGATTAGCAGGAGATTTAGGACAGACGAAAGGAAACCCTTCTTTGCACACAGCGATAGCTACCCATCTGGACAGCTTTAAATATATAGATTGATTGTATTCCCACACCTGCTTGCTTCTTGCCCTCACAACCCCCCTGTGTGGTGGGTCAGGCTGAGCATCAGGGACTGGCCCAGAGTCACCAAGTGAGCTTCATGGGCAAGTGGGGACAGGAACCCCCCTCTCCTGGGTCCCATCCGGCACTCTAACCCCTGTGCCACTCCGGGGGTTAGATCAGCGCCTGGAGGAGAGCCTTCGGTGGCTCTGAGTCCTGGTCTGCAGCAGCTGTGCAGGCCAGTGGCTGGGGAGAGGAGCTGGGGGCTTGCTCTTGCTGTCGTGTCTTGCACGTGGGTCGCATGCAGCTGGCTGGCAGCGTGTGCGCGCAGCCTCTTGGGCTGGGAGGGCCCCGAGTGTCTTGTGTAGGGTGGGGCTCATCCGTCAGGCGGTGGAGTGCTGCAGCTTAGGGGTCCTCCTTGAAGTCCTGAGCCTTCATCCTCCCCCTTTTTATTTTATTTTCCTATTTAAACTTTTGTAGACCTGGCTTCTAGCAAACTTGGGACTCTTTTTATTAGTGGCTAGAGAAAGGGGACTTCGCATAGATTTAAATATGTTTTAAGTTATCACAAATGGAAAGAGAAGGGTGTGGGGGCTGACCCAGCGGGCTCAATGTTTTTGATGATGGATGTTGTTTGTAGTTTTCCTTCTTTTTTTTTCTTTTTAGGATTATAATTTCAAATAAAACTTATTTAAAAAAACACATTTGTAGACTTTCCCATTACCGAAATCTTGGGACAGTTTAACAACACAAAGTGTAAAAAAAAATTTTTTTTTTAAACACAGCGTCCTAAAGTTTAGCTAATAATAAAACCCCAGTTAAAACAGTCAGGTCTTAAATCAGGGATGGGGAAACGGTGGGCCTTTCCAGATCCTGTGGGACTTCCATCAGTCCTAGCATGACCTATTGCATTGTTTGGTCTCTGCTGGAGGAATGGCAAGCGGGTTATTCGGGTCCAGCAGGCAGTGCGGCGAACCTTTCCAGTGTTCAAATACTGGTATAATTTTGGGGAGCCATGGGAACCCACCCTCCCAAAGTTAGCAAGAGCCACGGAGAGCATTGCCTTGAGATTGCTTCCCCAAGCTAGGTCACAGCTGTCATGCTCGTCTTTCGTGACAAAACCAGCCAGGAGTCCTGGGCCGCTTAGTGGTGAGCACTTGGAGGGCGCTGCCCAACGCCTCTTTCGACGGGGAAAAGACTGTCCCTTTCCGAGCGTTCCCAGGAACGCTGCGCATTGTAGGATGCTTTTTGTGTCCAGCTCTGCAAGGGATCACCTGTTTCCTTAACAGTTGCCATGCCGAAAGCATAGCTGGGTGATACCAGAGGCATCAAAGCAGTAGCAAGCCTATTAATATAAGTAGTATGGGGTTTCTTCTTCTTCTAAAGCTCCTTTGTTCTTAACCAAACCACAAGAAATAGAGTTGAAATTCTTGAATTCTACTTTAGCCATTTCCTGTCACTTGCCTACTTCAGATATTCCTTTAATATCGGACCGTAGTCAAATGACAGATCATTTGCCAGCTGTGTTGCGGTGAAGGATGAGTGGGCTGGAGATAGCACCAGACCTTTGCCTGACTTTGATGCCACCCGTGCGAACTGTGTTGGGATGGAGGGCGAGTCTTGTGGTCACTCCAGCGACGAAGCTGCCATGAACGCCACGCATGTGCCCAAAACCAAAAAAATGGAACTTATTTGTACTGGGCTGTTGCTGGAAGCAGAGGGGGAGTTCAGCTTGCTCAGATGTGCGCTCTCTATTTCCCTCTCTCTTTCTCTGCCCTTCTAGGGAAATACAGCTCCTACGGCAGTTACGGCACAAAAACGTTATCCAGCTAGTCGATGTGTTGTATAATGAAGAGAAACAGAAGATATATCCTTTGCGTGCCTCTGCTGGATTTTTCACAGGGGGTATTCTGTTGTTTTTCTCCCCTTCCGATAGCACATGGCCCCTTCTGGGGTCGTCACAAAATGAACTGAAGAACCCTTTTGCCAAGTCATCTTCTTGGGCCAGTAGTGGCCCTGGGGCCTAGTCTGTTTGTTTCCCCCCACTGCCCATTCGGTTTTCTTTTTCTTTTGGGCTTTTGCTTGCTTTTTAAGAAAACAAATAAAAATGTGTTTGGCACGTCTGTCTCTGGGAAGGGCCGGGGAGCCAGGCGAACTGCCCTCCTGCCCTGTCGGCAGCCCATCGGGACTTTGAGGTGGCCCACGGGCCCACTTCGCCACTTCTCTCTTTTGCAGGCACCACTTTGGGGCAGAAGGAGTGTGCAGTCGGGCTTGTGCGTCTCAGGGGCCGTGTTTGGATGATCCGCGGGAAAAGAAGCTGTAGCGGTTTCCTTCCGCACCTCAGCCTGGCGTGGTTTGCCTAGCCGCCCCCACGGCACGCAGCCGCCTGTCTGGTGCAGCCCCAGCAAAATCCACAGAGGCAGCGGCTTCAAAGTCACCCCGGAACCCGCAATTCATTGCTGGTTTCTGGGGCAGTTCTGAAGCGTCCCCGACACGCATCTTGCCACGTTTGAACATGGTGGGAAGCTGCCCACCATGAGGGTGGTGAGCCAGGTGTCTTGGGACAGGCCTCACTTGGAAGGTGCCTCGTTTGAGCCCTGGGCAGTGGGTAGAAGCCCTGGGGAGCGGTGATCGGGAAGACCTTCCGGTGCCCACGAGGCTGGGACCCTGCTGCAGGCAGGACCAATAGCCTGGCCTGGAACGAGGCCGCTTCTGTGTGGCAGATTTTCCCCCAGGTGCTTCCTTGACTCTGCCTCTCACGTATATGGTGATGGAGTATTGTGTGTGTGGTATGCAAGAGATGCTGGACAGTGTCCCTGACAAAAAGTTTCCGGTCTTTCAAGCACACGGGTGAGTACGCAAGGAACGTAAACCTCCTCCTTTCCCTGACCTGGTGCGCACCAGATGCGCTGCAGGGCCACTGGCGGGGTTGGGCGTCTCCACACCAGACGTGACTTCTGGAGGCTCATGATAAGAGTTGTGATGTGGGCGAGGCAGAGCAGAAGGGGTTGCTCGCTGAGGTATAGGCCTGTTTCTTCAGCGGCGCAAGATCTCGGCGAATTTGTATCTTCGTCCTTTTAATTCCGCTGCTTTCCCTCCCCTCCACTTCAGGTACTTTTGCCAGCTTATAGACGGCTTGGAATACCTGCACAGCCAAGGGATCGTCCACAAAGACATCAAACCGGGGAACCTCCTGCTAACAACCAATGGAACCCTAAAGATATCAGATCTGGGGGTGGCAGAGGTGTGTCTCGCACTTGGCTCTGCACATGCACAAGCTGCTCCCGTCTGCGGTGCTTCCTCCATCGCCTCTGTGGGAAAGCACTGCCTTCAGCCGCCCTCACAGAGGAGGGAAGGCCCTGGTGACTTTCTGCCAGGCTCCAAAGCTGTCCACATCTGTGCAGCAGTCATGGCAGAACATGTTGTGGACAACAGACAGAATATGAGCCAGCAGTGCAATGCGGCTGCCAAAAGGGCAAATTCTGTTTTGGGATGCATTACTCCCAAATCTGAAGAAGTCGCTGTTGTTGCTAGTTGCAGTGTCGTGTCCGACCCATGGCGACCCCATGGACAACATTCCTCCAGGCCCTCCTGTCCTCCACCATCTCCCGGAGTTCACTTAAGCTCACACCAACTGCTTCAGTGACCTCCTCCTCTGCCGCCCCCTTCTTCTTTTGTCCTCAATTGTTCCCAGCATCAGGCTCTTCTCCTGGGAGTCCTTCCTTCTCATCAGGTGGCCAAAGTATTCAAGCTTCATCTTCACTATCTGACCTTCTAAAGAGCAGTCAGGGTTGATCTCCTCCAGGACTGACCGGTTTAGTCGCCTTGCAGTCCAAGGGACTCGCAGGAGTCTCCTCCTGCACCACAATCCAAAGCCCTCAGTTCTTTGGTGCTCAGCCTTCTTATGGTCCAGCTTTCCCAGCCATACATTGCAACTGGGAAAACCATCGCCTTGACAGTACGCACCTTTGTTGGCAGGGTGATGTCTCTGCTTTTTAGTATGCTGTCTAGATTTGCCATAGCTTTCCTGCCAAGGAGCAAGCGCCTTTTAATTTCTTGGCTGCAGTCACCATCTGTGGTGATCTTGGAGCCCAGGAAAATAAAATCTGTCACTACCTCCATTTCTTCCCTACCTATTTGCCAGGAAGTGATAGAACTGGATGCCATGATCTTAGTTTTCCTAGTTAGACTCCATCTGGAATACAGTGTCCAGTTCTGGGCACCAAGTTTTAGGAAAGATGCAGAAAAATTAGAAAGGGTCCAGAGGAGGGCAACAAAAATGATATTTGGAAACACTGCCGTGTGAGGAGAGACTGAGAGAACTGAACATGTTCAGCCTTTAGAAGAGAAGAGAAGCCTGAGGGGGGACATAGCCTTTGAAGGACTTATAGAAGAATACTATCACAAAGAGGAAGACCGAGGTATCTTCTCACTGATAAAAGAATGTAGGACACGGAATGATCAAGTCCAGCTGCCGCCAGCCAGATTCAGGCTGGATATCAGGAAAAGCTTCCTCATGGTCAGAGTGTGATAGGACAGTGGGACCAGCTGCCTGGAGAGGTGGGGGCTCCCCCACACTGGAGGCATCCAGAAAGAGGCTGGGCGGCCACCTGAGTGGGGTGGTGTGACTTGGTGTCCTGCAACTGCAGGGGGTGGACCTGATGGCCTTCATGGCCCCTTCTTACTCCACTATTCTGTGATTCTAAGAAAGCCCTATGAGGAGAGACTGAGAGAACTTGCCCTTCCTGTTCAGCCTTGAGAAGAGAAGACCGACAGTGGTCATGATATCCCTCTATAAGTCCTTCAAAGGCTTTCACAAAGAGGAAGGCGAAGCTATCTTCTCACTGCAGAAAGAATGTAGGACGTGAAATAATCAAGTCCGGCTGCAGCAAGCTGGATTCAGACTAGATAACAGGAAAAGCTTCTTCAAGGTCAGAGTGATAGGCCAGTGGAAGCAGCTGCGTGGGGAGGTGGGGGCTCTCCCACGCTGGAGACATTCAAGAAGAAACTGGGCGGCCACCTGAATGGGATGGTGTAACGTGGTGTCCTGCAGCAGGAGGGGGTTGGACTTGATGACCTTCAGGGCCCCTTCCAGCTCGACCATTCTGTGATTGGAGTGTATCAGAGTGCCCAATGGTGTGTGTAGCCGGCTGTGGGCTTTCCAGAGGTGTGTGACTGGCCATCTTGGGAGCAGAAAGCTGCCCTAGGCAGGCTTGTGGCCACAGGACCCCATGGTCCTGCTGTGCTGAAATCCAAGCAAGCTGCCCGACTTCCTAGCAGATCGGGGCTTCTTTGGGAAGGACGCTGCCCCAGAGCCATGGAGGCTCCCAGCAGGCCATTCGGCACTCAGAAATGTGGGCCAGAGTTCTTCCGAGACCCCTGTTCCCAGGTGACTGAGAACCGCTGTCCTTCCATGCAAACCAGCTGATGCACCTAAGCGGGTTGCCAGTGAGAGAATTCCAGGGATTGCATTCCGGGAAAGAGAGGGAGGTGGGCTGCGTCCCTTTTGAGAGGTGTTTGGGGCTTCCCTTCGGCTTCTGGAGCCAGGACCTGACAGGGCAGGCTCTCTGCTGCTTCTATTTTTTTATCCCCCTTTTTTGTTTTAATTTTTTTAAATACAGAAAAAACACAAATACATAAATACAAACATCATAATATTAATAGTATTACACACAAAAACCCAACTAATGAATGAAAAAGGAAATAATACAGTGCCCCCACCACCCAGGAGACCAATAATACAATGGTACCTCAGCTCACAAACGCCTCAGTTCATGGCCGAATCGGGTCGCGAGCAAAAATTCCATAAAAATTTTGACTCGGGTTGTGAAATCCACATTGGGTGGCAACTGCCATTGTGGCCATCCCCCCCCCCCCCCCGGAAATGCCCCTGCAATCGCACTCATGCAGGGATGACAGGCACGATTGCGGTCGTGCTGGGGGGGGGGGATGGCTGTACTGGTGCTTGGGGTGGGTGGGGGGAAGATGGCTGTGATCTTTGTTGTTCTTTGTTATTTTGCCTCAAATTTTTCTGATTTAAAAATAATAGTTACAGATTAACCTTATTTACATTGAACCTTATGGGGAAAGATGACTTGGGTCGTGACCAATTTGGGTTATGACCAGAGTCTTGGAACGGATTAAGTTCGTGAGCCAAGGTACCACTGCACCTCCATTTTAATTCATATAATAATAATACATAATATATCCATCCCCTCCAAAAATTCATCTAATCTTGATTAGGCTTACAACCTTTACCTTCTATCAGTAGTGCTTTTACAAAATCTTCCCAAATTTCATTATATTTATTTGCTTCTATTAACCCTTTTTAAATGTTTATTTCTCTTGTCAGTTTATCATTAATTACCATATTCCGTATTTCATTATACCATTCATGCCTTTGCGTAGCCCAGTTCTGCTTCCAGTATTTAACTATCGCTAACCTGGCTGCCATTAGCAAACTTAGGATCAATTGTTTCTCAACTTCATTTATGTCTTGTTTTTGAATCAGCAGCAATAACACGATCTCTGCTGCAGCTTGCGTGGCCCTCTGGGTAGCTTGTGCTGGCCGCTTTCGGGCAACCCTAAGCCGACTAGGGGTTGGGTTGGCCTGAAATCCTCTTGGCTGGCGGGTGGGGTGGGGTAGAAGCCGGGATTTTGCCTCCTCAGTCCATATGAAGCAGCTCACTTTTCTCCGCCTGAGGCCCTGCAGCGGTTCCCAGGCACCTGCGCGGCACCTGGCAGGGGGCGCCACTGCGCTGACCCCTCCTCATCCTCCCTCCCTGTAGGCCTTGCACCCGTTCGCGGAGGACGATGTGTGCCGGACGAGTCAGGGGTCGCCCGCCTTCCAGCCGCCAGAGATCGCGAATGGCCTCGACACCTTCTCGGGCTTCAAAGTGGATATCTGGTCAGCAGGTGTCACGCTGTAAGTTCCCGGGAAACGTGCTGGTTTCCCGTCATGGCGGAGGGTTTGCTGCGGCCTTGGCCCCTTCAGTGGCACATTCAATTGCGTGCCTTTTCCCTTTTTTCCAGATACAACATCACAACTGGGCTCTATCCCTTTGAAGGCGACAATATTTATAAGTTATTCGAAAACATTGGGAAGGGGGACTACACGATTCCCGAGGACTGTGGTCCACCTCTTTCAGATCTGCTTAGAGGTGAGTGACCCTTTGCCAAAAGGAGGTGAAACGGGGGGCTGTTGCTTTGCTGCCCACCCCCACGGATGTCAGGGAAGTACCATTCAGTGGGAAATGGGTGCGCATATGTGTTTGCACCCATGTCGCTGCGCTCAGTCTTGCACGCTGTGCAACCGTCAGCGCATCAGTGCCGGGGCGAGTGCTTAGCGTAAGCGAATAATCTTGGCACACCTTGAGGACTAGCAGCTCGATACGCCTAATGGGCGAGCTGTCGCCTGGGCACATGCCTTGAAGAGGTGCCTGGCTGGCTGTTCTTAACACCAGCATCGCAGACTGGTTGGACCTCCCTGACTGAGCCATCTCGGCGAGTCTTGGGCAGCCGGGTCCCTTCCCACACGGCCTGGAGATGACAAGGCCGCTGCTGCGTAACTTCTCATGCTATGAGTATTACACTGCTCAATCGGCCGTGTTCTGAGGGAGGCGAGTTCTCCTTTTAAGTAAGGAGATTGCAGAGGGAATGGCTAAAGCCAGCAGCAAAACCCAAGAGCGAAGTGTGCATGTGCTTTTAATGAACGGGGGTGTTCTGAGCCTGAGATCCCAACACGAGGGGAAAAGACGCTGGCCGGAAACGGCGCTCCGAAGTTGTCGCTGCCTTTCCTGGGCTCTGCTCGGGATGCCAGCCGCTCGGAGCCCAAGCCGGCCTGCGGGCAGAGCCCGTCTCCCGCGCTACTGCGAGCGCTTCAGTGGGCGTTGCGATGGATCTGCTCTGGGAACCAGCCAGGGTTACTTTCGGGGCTAATTTCGGGGAGTTTGCAAAGCCAGCCTTCCCTCCGAGCAGGAGCAGGGCAGGCGCAAGCGTTGAGCCGTCTGGGGTCCTGCCCTCTTGCGGAAGAGCCTTGCCCGATCGTGCCCGCTGAGGAGCATCTCTGGTGCAGCCAGAGGCGGGTGGGGAAAACGAGAAGGGGTCTGGGCACAGGAGGCCTCTGAGCCCGCAGCCACCCCAGCGGGCCGGGAAAGAACCGGGCTGGGATCCCTGGAGAGCCGCTGCCAGTCTGTGTTGGCTGCTGGCTCAGCGGAGCGAGGGCCTGAGCCAGCGTGAGGGGGTCCAGGCCGTCCCGGAGCTGGAGGCCTCACGCCATCTCCCCTGCCCCACGCCCTGTCCCACCACCAAGGGGTGTGCGGCAAGTCCTTGGCTACCCTGCTTTGCCTCCCCGCTGCTTCCTGCAATGGCAGACCTGCTCCTGTCAGGCTCCGGCCTGGGCAGGACGCGCTTTCAGCAGGAACAGCCGGCGTTTGGGCGTGTGCTGCCCCCCCGCCAGCACAGTGCACCCCCCAGTGGCTCCTCTGAGAGGGGGTTCGAGGGTTTCCGCGCTGCAGCTGAGAAAGGGAAAGGAGGACGGGCCGTACTGGGGAAGTGGTGTGGAGGCATACATTTCCGGTGACAGCTGGGGGTCTTTCCATCCCCCCCCCCCCCCCCGGTAAGCCTTCCTTCTGGAATCCAGCAGCTCGGAGCCTCACCGGCAGCCGCGCCTCAGTGGAAGTGGAGGCATCTGGGGACCCTAGGAACCGAGAGTTGCCACCCCGCCCCCGTGCCATGGCGCCCCAGAACAGCCGTCCCCAGCCTGTGTGTGTGGCACGCCTGGTGTGCCGCACTCCATCTCCCACCACACGCAGCCAGCAGCGGCTGCTGGGAGTTGCACTCCAGCACCTCCGGAGGACCCAGATGGGAGAAGCGGCGCCGGCGGGCTGCACTTGCTCCACCTCTGCAGCAGGTGGCGCTGCAGGACCAAGGAACGGGCTCTGGCGGCCTGCAGGCAGGCCTGGCTGGGAGCCGGCACCAGACAACAAGCCCCTTCTCCCACTAGGCGCAGCTGCGGGGCAGCTGTCACCCCGCCCCGACACCACTTCCTCTGCTTTGGCGGTGTCTCCCAGCCGGCAGCACCTGGAAGCCCTCTCCCGGGGAGCTGGTGCCGGCCTCTCCCTCCTCATGCGTTACAGTCTGAGGGTTTCCACCCTGCCTCGTCCGAGAGGCTCGTGGCTAGCAATGGCGTGGGCGAACTCCAACGCGGGCAGCGATCCTGCCCTGCTGGGCTCCGGGAGGAATAAAGCAGCGGCTTGGAAGAGCCTCGCTTGGCTTCTTCTCGCTCCCTCCATCGAAAAGCCAGCCTGGACAGGACGGCCCTTTCCGTGCTTCCAGGGGAGGCTTTGCCGCGGGGCTTGGGTGAGGCTGCAGAGCGAGGGGGTTCCCACAGCCGGAGGGTTCAGGGTACCTGGGGGCTGCCGCCCTTTGCAAGGCCGAGCTTCACGTTCTCGACAGCCCCCTGGACGTAACATGACGCCGCAGCTGCAGGCCACCTCTCCCAACTCCCCACGGGCTCGCCTGCTGCCCCACACTCGGTGCTTCGCAGCCTTGTGTGGGGCCTACCCAAGCCGAGTGTTTCTACGTGGTTTTTTGTTTGCAGGTAGCTCAGTTGCAAGCAGGTAAAATGTGGGTGGTGCAAAAAAAGAGCAAAAGCAGGAAGAACACGTCGTAAAACACGCCCATGCAGAGAAGCCGTTTGCAACCCCCTTAACAACAACAAAACCGGAAGAGAATTTAATGCTTCCATTTCAAAGTGGAGCCATTTGTCCACCCGGGCGAGCTGGCGGATGAGTTGGACGGCTGTGGGCGGGGTGTGTGGTTCCAGCGACGATGAGCCTGTTCGCTCGCCCCTGAATCGCTCCCCCGGGTGCTCGCCCGGGTCTCGTGCACCCTCTGCGGGAGCCGTGAGGCCGGGCGGCTGAGCCTCCGCCGAGTCCACAGGCGTGCCCCCACCCCTTCCGTGGCTTGTGTCGGCATGCGGGGGGGCCGACGATCGATGCGTTCCTCCCGCACAGAGCTCTTGCCCACACAGACTTAGGAGGCTACATTGCCGAACAGCTCTGGCGATGGGCAGCGCCTCCAGTTTAGACTCGGTGCAAGGCGCTCAGCACTGCCGCTGGCTGGATAGGTGCCTGTGCGGGCACCTTGGGGAGGGGGAGATGCAGCGGCAGCATTCTGGGGCTGCAGCAGGTGGCCCAGGCCCGTGTCGGGTCCCCACCGGCACATCCGTCTGGCCGACGAGACCGCGGCTTCCCTGTCAGCCTTGCGAGGAGGGGAGGGCGGTGTGGGAAAGAGCAGCCTCATTGCCTCCTGGAGCGTGTGTTTACTTTCACGCCTGAGCAGGCCTTTTAGGACGCGGAGCTGCGGCCAGCAGGCGTCGGCGCACCTCCAGCCTGCCCGGCTCTGGCCACGGCCCACTCCCGCTGCGGAGCACCTGCTTCACCCTGTCCGCAGCCCCCTGGCTTGGGCCGCCCGCAGGGGAGCAGAGGAGCTGCCGCTGGGCTTGGGAGGGCTTCGAGCTCTCCTTCCCTCCTGCACGCCCCCACCCCTCCGGCAGCACAAGCCGCAGTGATGAAAGGTGCGTCAGGCAGAAGCGAGCCAGGAGAGATCGAAGCGCCTTCCCTGGCCAAATCGTGTGTGGGAAGCTGCTGACGCCACACGCAAGCGCGAGCCGTGCCTGGCCTCGTTTCTTGCCGCCCTGGTTGGTCGGCCAGCCGTGTTATGGCCGCATCCCGGCGGCATCCTCAGTTGATGCTGCTCGCTCCTCAGAAAGTGACGGCAGAACTGTGTGCGCCCTAGCCCTTTGCACCCCGAAGGGCCCCGCTCCTTCCGGAAGGGCTGCAGAAACCGCCCCGCTTGGGTGTGGCAGATGGAGCTGCCTTGGCCCCGGGCCGTGTGACCTGCAGCGTTGCTTGCTTTTCTTCAAGCTGCCCTTGCAAACCGTGGCGGTTCCTCCCCATCTTCCTTCTCAGAGATTCTTGTACATCCCTGGCTGGGGCCAGGCCGGGCTTGGCCAAGATCCAGGGCTCAGGTTCACAGGACCAAAAACTGAAACGTCACATGCAAGTTTACATAAACAGGCGTGTGCCGAGGGCCGTTCTTGCTAAGGATACCTCTCTGGGTAGACGGGGCAGGGAAAGAGCCTCGGGCAGGAAGATTCGAGAGGGGGTGGCAGCACGGGGCATGCTCTTCAGTGGGACCCTTAGGGCCCCCGGACCTGGATTTTGGCACGTGACCCTGGATGGCCGGGCGGCAGGGCAGGCGGCCACCCAGATGCTCGGAGCTCTGGCCCTACTGGAGGGAAAAGGCAAGCCCCTTGGCCTCCTCATCCTCCCTGGCCACTGGAGCGCTGCACCAAGACTCGGGAGGTTCAGCTCCTGGTCTCCACTTGGTCGCAGAGTGCCTTGTCTGCTCTCGGACTCTTGTACCAGCCTTCCTCGCAGGGCTGTTGTGGGAATAGAATGGGGCAGCATGCCTGTGGTCCTCCTTGCACGCCCTGCAGAAGGAAAGCTGGGGGGCATAACTGTGCTAGCGCATGCCAAGAAATTTAATAAGCCGTAACAAGTGCGAATGCAAATAGGAGTTAAAGCTCTTCCAATTAAAAGCGAACATAAAAGCTGTTAACGGCATGCTGTGGCATTGCATATCAGGTTAGAAACATGAGGCGGTCTAATGAGGGCAAGAGCCGGAGGTGAGAGGCTGAGCACAAGGGGGCTTTTGTCACCCAGGAGCGAGTTCCAGCAGCGCCGGAAGCGTTTGAGTGGGGGGCGGCTTGTGTCGGCTTACATTTTGGGTGTGACCCCTAAGGGTTGGTTAAGCAGGAAGAGGGAACCCTCGGGCTTTCCGCTCTCCTGTCTCCCCAGCTCCCCCATTTCCAGAAACCTATCCATGGGGGGCAGCTTTAGTGTAAACCAAGAATTGAGAGCCTCTTGAATCCACCCCATCTGCCCCCCACCCCCACATCCATGCCAGGGATTCTCTCCAGACTTGGAATTCATGCTTTGTAGCCAGTACTTTGTTCATTTAAAGGCATTAAACAGTCCCTTAATTTCTAAATGTTCCCAAGCATGCTTCGGCAGGGCAAAGGGCCTTGGCAGGGGCGTGCTGGGAGTTGTGTGGCTTTTTCCCCTACCTAAGTATGCGTAGGATTGTGGCCTCAATTTCAGTCACACTTCTGTGGAGGAGTTACCACCTCAGTTTCTCTTGTATCCTGTATTTTGTGCATGCGTGTGTGTTTGTGTGGGGTAACGTTTGTAGCTTTTCTTAACCAACTGACCATGGCTTAGTTAAAGTTAAATGTTTCCCGGCCCCTTTCTTTGCCCCGTCCTTCCTTCCTTCCTTCCTTCCTTCCTTCCTTCCTTCCTTCCTTCCTTCCAGGAATGCTTGAATATGACCCGGCCAAGAGGTTTTCGATACAGCAGATACGGCATCACAAGTGAGTGTGTGCGCTTCGCATTATTTTCGTTGTGTTTGTGACTTGGCTCGGGGTGTGCGCGCGCATGGTAATCTCTTCTTTCTTATCCCGGGAGGGGGCAAAGTACGCAGGCAGATGAGTAAGCCTATTTTTATTTACTAAACGTGCATCCGGTGCCATTTGTGCCTGAAAGCCTTTCAGGTCACTTCCAGTTCCTGCTTAGTGGAGAAGATAGACGGTCGATTGACCTAATATTTTAAAAGAACAAGAAATTGCATAATCGCCCTCAAAGCTCTGGGCGGTGGCGGTGGCGACAGGCGGCATCTCCGGCATCTCCGGACGGATGCAGCAGGCCCAGCTCTTGCATCCCTTGGGGCAAAGGACCTCCACCCTCCGCCTGCAGACTCGCTGGCCAGTGGGTGTGGCGGCTGGGACTGATGGGAGAGGGGATCAAAGCATACGGAAGGCAGCTGGCTGTCCTTAAAACCGGGAGTGGTGCTCTGCTTTGTTTCGGCAGCATCCTGGCAAGGGTTGCATGGGTGGGAGAAAGGGGGCGGGGCAGCATTGCTTGTGGGGAGCCCCACTGCTCCCCATTGCTGCCTCTGGGCCTGTCCAGCGAGCTGCCCTGCCCCTCCGCACCCCCCCGGGCTGCAGGCAGAGCAGGCCAGAGGCCCCTCAGGCAGGGGACGGGGCTGCAGGCGGGACAAAGGCGTGCGAGGCCAGGGGTCAGCCGCACGGGTCTGGTCCCCAGGAGCGTGAGCCGAGAACCGGGAAAGGGCGGCTGGGCTGCTGTGCCCCCTTCGTTGGGAAAGAAGGGCTGGGGCAAACCTGAAGGCCGCGGGGCAGGTTCGCTTCCACCTGCACTGGGGCGGGTCTGCGGCTTGGGGGTGGCGCCCCTGCCCTGCTCTCAGAAGGCCCTGGTTTCTGCCCTCCCCAGGCAGGGCTGGGAAGACGCCCACCTGACTCCCCAGAGAGCTGCACCTGCCGGCAGGCTTCCATGATCCTGGGCTACATGGACGAGGGGGCTGACCCTGAAGGGCAGCTTTCTCAGAACCCTGCTGGTGGGCCGGCCAGGTCCTCTTGGCTGCTCAGCTGCATCCCCCCAGGCAGGCAGCTCTGTAACATCCCACCCTGTAGGGCTGTTGTCGGGGGCAAAGGGGTGCAGGCATCCGGGCAGGGTGGAAAGGGCGCCATCAAAAGGCACGGCGTCTTTGAGGCTTCTGAGTCCGGTGCTTCCAGGGGCCAGGAATCGCCCGGCCGTCAGTGGCCAGAGGGTGCTTTGCTTGCTTCCCTTTTTAACCCCCCTCCCCCCCCACCGGATGCACTGTCAGGAGACGAGCTTGGAGGCCCTGCGGCTTCGGCTGGGCTTTGTCTGCAGGCAGATGGGGCGGGGTCCTTTCTGAAAAGCTGCTTCTGGGGTTCAGGCATCCCACCAGCTCCAGGCAGCCTTGCCCAACGCAGTCATGGGACGCCGAGCTGAGGAAAGCTGCCCAAGTACAGGAGAGAAGCCATCTCCGCCTGGCTTCGCCCGCCCGCCCTCCTCTCCTCCTTTTCATCCTAGCCGGCTCGGATGCAGATGCAAATGCAAATGTTGGAATATGATCTCCCAGAGGGCTCGAATCAATACTGCTCTGCAGGTTTCCGCTGCCATCCAAACCTATTTTTACTCCTTCAATAAGCAGGGCGAGGAGAGGGAGATGAAATTTAAAATGGAGCAGAACTCCTTCTTGCGGTCCCCTGCATGGCTCCTTTGCGGAGGAGCGGGGCATGTTGTGTTGTTGCCGCTTTTCATGGTGTGTAAATTCTGGGAGTAGCAGCCATCAGCTTTTGGAAAAGGATTACCTCCCCCCGCCCCCCGGCAAAAAAACCAGGATCATTTAAAAACCCGATCTCCTGGGTGCCAAAGGAGAGTATTTGCTGCAGGGAGGTGCGTGAGCAAGAGTGCTTTTGGGGGCGACCCTCTGGCTGGGCACACGGGCAGTTCCAGGCTCTGCAGCTGGGGTCTGCAGGCCGGGCTGGGGGACCCCCCACCCCAGTCCCCAGAGAATGGCTGGTGTTGGTGCAGCTTTGCAGGCGTCTCTCCCCGAGGAAGGAGTAGCCTTCTCGGGGTGGGCAGGCCAGCATGGATTGAACCTGGCCCGGAAGCCGAGTGAGGTGGGGCCTCTTGCTTATCGTTCTGTGCCACGGGAACAGGATCTGTCAAAGTCCTCCCCTTGGCGGAGGCAGGATGCCTGCCCCCCAGCTTCGTTTGGTTGAGGTGGGTGTCAGGCTAGGACCCACCCAGCTGCCGCCCTCCCTGTACCCTCCGTGCGGACTGGCGCTGGCAGGGCCCCTTCCCAGCCTTGCCTGCCGGCCTGGGGACCGTCCTTCTGCAAAGGGTGTGCTCGGCGGCTGAGCCGTGGCGAATTTTGTAGCTCCTGGAAACTCAAGTTGTACGGCAGCCTCTTCACGGCCTAACACCCGCCAGGCGTGTCGGGCTCCCTCACTGCCCGGCCAGCCAGTCTGGGAAGTGCCGAAGCAGGCAGCACACTCAAGTGGCAGGAAATTCAAAACGCAGAGCTGCAAATGAATCCCAGCCAGGGACTGGGAGGGAGCTGGCGGGGGACGCTCCAAGCACAGTTGTAGCAAACAGGTCAGAGGCTCAGGACCCGAATGGCAGTGACGACTGTTTCTGGGAAATCTGTTGCCTTCTCTGGCTGGCACCCACAGCCAAGCGGTGTTGGGAACTGGGTTTCGCAGCTCCCAGTGGCCACCCCCCCCCGCCCACTTCCAGCTTCCCTGAAAGTCCAGCCCAGCAGAGCTGCTGGGAAGTTGGACGTGCTGGAGAGCTTCACTGCCGCCCGTGTGCAGATGGCTGGATAGCCAGGGTGGGCAGAGGGAGGCATGGGGGTGGCCTACGGGTTCCCGGGGGTGAGGGGGCCCAGGTAGGTGCGTGGCACTGGCGCACCGTTCCCCCCACCCCCCAGGAAGAGCGGCTTTGCCCGAAGAAGAGAGGGCTGAAGGTGCCGTCCACGCTTGCATGGCTCTGCTGAACAACAATTCCTTTTTGTAGAGCGAGGGACTGGCGCAGGCTTCCTCAGCCTGTCCCACCCAGCATGGGGGTGATGGGCTTTGTAGTCCTATGCAGCAGGGGGAGACTAGGTTGCTGGGCTGGAATGAAGCTGCCTTCAGGGGAAGAAGGGCGAGCATGGCGGGAAGGACCGTCCGCGGCCAGCCACTGGGGTCTCTGGGCTGGACCTCCCTGCCCAGAGTCGGACGCCGCTGGCTCTGGAGTGGCCGCTGGCTTACTCTTCCCCAAACCTGGGGCGCATCTTCGGCAGACCTCTGGTCTGACGCAGCCCGAGGCAAGGAATGCGCGGGCAAAGCACGGGCCGTGGCACTCTGCGTGCAGGAAGCGGCGCTGGGCAGTGGAATGTGCCCCGCCGCCGATTCTTTGCAGGGCCCTGTGGAGAGACGGCCGAGCACAGAGGGCCGAGGAAGAATCCCTGCTCCTCTGGGAAATTGGCGGGCCTTAGAGGGTAGGGGAGGTAAGCCATGGGGCTGCTGGGAGGCCGTGCCCCGTGTCTCCCGGGAAGCAAAGCGTGACAAACTGAATCCCGTGCACGGAGCGGCTGCAGGGAGTCCGCTCTGCCCTTTCTGGCGGGAGAGAGCACGTGCAACGTTCTCCAACGAGAACGTTGGAATTGAGAGGTGTTGGTTTTTTCCTCCTCCCTCCTAACCCATTTTCCTCTCGTGCTGTGCCTCCCCACCGGGCGGATGTACCGTCCCGCTGCCGCTTTCCCTTGTGCTTCTCAGCTGGTTCCGAAAGAAGCACCCCCAGTCCGAGCCGGCAGTCCCCATCCCGCCCAGCCCAGAGACGAAGGACCGGTGGAGGAGCATGACGGTGGTGCCCTACCTGGAGGACCTGCACGGGTACAACGAGGAGGAGGAGGAGGACGACGACCTGAAGTGCGACTACCTGGAGGACGAGGTCATCTTCACTCAGGACTTCACAGTGCCAGGTGAGGGAGCCGGAGCAGCCGGGCGGGGGGCAAAGTGCCTCTGAGGCGCGTTAAAGCCGGCTCGCGGGCCCGGCCGGTCTTCGGAGCTCTAGCGGGCGCGGGGCTCCTTCCTCCCAGGGCAGCTGCAGGTCCCCCTTTCCTCTTGCAAGGGCCTCACGGCAGCCCTTTGCAGTCGCTGAGCGCAGGGCTGGCCAGGGAGCCTCGTGGCGTGCAGGGCCTCCCGAGTCCCGCGCCCACAGCTGCGCCACTCAAGCTGCCCGCTGCTGAAACGCTGGCACGCCGTTCCCAAAGGCAGCGTCCTCCAGAAGAGCTGGACTTCAGGCCCAGCATCCCCAGCCAGCTGAAGAGGTGGCTAAGCATGCTGAGGGCTGGAGTCCAGCGCCTCCAGAAGGCGCCGGCTTGGGGAGGGATGGCTTCACGGCTGGGTCCCGTGGGCCAGCAGCATGGCCAGGATTGGCGGAGGCCCGTCTCCTTTGAGGAGGGGCAGCTTTGCCACAGCGCCGAGCTTCCCAGCGGGGAACATCTGCACCTGCAGCTGGGGGGAAGTGGACTGCGCGTTCCCGCGGGTGGCACGGTAGAGGGGTAGGGGGTCTGCAGGGGGCTGGGGGCGGAATCATGACCGTAGAAGCTGCTTGGTAAGGGAAACGGTTGCCCAGAGGGGCGGGCGGGCGGGCGGGTGGGCTGTTTAGTCAGGGGGGGGGGGCGGCTGCCTGTCCCGAGCCCCACGCCGTCCGACAGGCCCGTCTGCCCCGTGCCGCCATGGCTGCGCATCCACTGCTAAACCCGGGAGGCGTCCCACTCCTGCCCACCGGGCCCCTGCCCTGCCCTGCCCTGCCGCCCACGCTTCCTGCTGCCCCCCGAGAGCCTTGGAGCATCTTTGGACCGGGTGGCGTGCGCAGGCGGGCTGACTGGTAGCTCCCAGAGCAAGCCTGAGAGGCCCCCGAGGGGGCCCCGTGCCTCCCCAGGAAGGAAGGGCAGGGCGTGCGGGGGTGGCGAGCGACGGGCAGAACTGAACCTGTCCCATGCCCTGCCCGCAGGTGATGCGGGATGCAGGTGGGCACACCTGACGGAGCCTTCTGCAGCCTGTGGGTCTTCTGTGCTTTAGAGGGCGAGTCCCCGCTCGGGAAGAGCCACTTCCGTGCAGCAGGTGGGCAGATGTCCATTTCTGCCTCATTTCCCTCTGCCGTAATTTGGGTACCTTTTGACATCTTCATTCCATTTTTAAAAATCTAAACAGAGAGGCTATTTCACATAATGGCAGCTTTGCTAATCAGAGAAGTGCAAGGAAGGCATCAGCCCCAGGCCGAGCCCCCCGAAACCCCTCGCAGTGGCGCATTAGCTCGCTCGCTTGCATGCCGTCCTCTGGCGAAGCATTCTCAAGGTGAAGCGGATCGGAAACGATCGCCGTTGCAGTCCAAGACCTCTGGGAACGCTGGCACAGGCCTCGTCCGCTGAGCACCCCATGTGACATCTCCTTGACCCGGTGTGGGGGGGCGACTGGGGAGTTGGGGGCTGGCCCCCAGCGCTGTCCGTGCAGTTCCTGTGCCCCTTTCCCCCCTCCTCCTGATTTGCTCCCTGTTGCATCTTCTCAGGTGAAAGCGAGGCAGGGTTTAGAGAGGAGGAGAGCGCAGATCAGGAAGGATTGCTGGCGTACCTGTTCGGAGAAGGAGATGTGGAAAGCAGCGCGGAGGAAGGAAGGCTCACCAAGTTTAGCTTAGGTGACGAGACAGAGCCCGAGGAAGACGAGAGAGACGCCTGGTTCCCTTCCACCTAGAACGGTGTGGGCTTTGCTGGCGCCAGACCGTGCTCGGTCTGTGCTTCTCGCAAAGCCCGCCCCAGCGCTCCCCACTGAGCTTGGACTGTAACTCCCACCCACCCTGGCCGTCGGCTGCAGGGGAGCAGAGCCCAGCCAGATCCAGAGGCCCAGCCTGCCCCTCCCTTTCTCAAAGCACAAGGCAGCAGTGAGCAGCTGTGGGGGGGTGGCCACCCCCCTCCCCGTCCCTTCTGCAGGGCACAGAGGGGAAAAAGCGAAAATGGCACTGGTCGCTCGCAGACGAGCAGAACCGAACCGTTCCTCCGATTCGGTGCGGTTTGCTTTCCCCTCACCTGCATCTCGAGCGGCCACACTGCTCTGCAGCCCAGAGCCACGTTGCGCCAGAGCTTCACGATTCCACCGCCGCCTGGCCGCCGCCCTGTGGGGCACCCGGTTGGGGACGGCGGTCTCCTCTCTCCTGAGCCACCGCGGCGGCGTGTGCGCAGCGCACTTCCCTCCCAAGCACGGGGTGCGTGTGAAGGGTGCAGCTGCAGCTTTTAAGAGCTCCCATTAGCTCCTCTTGTGCAAACGGCTGCCATTTCGGGCCCATTCAGAGCTGTCAGTCAGCGGGTTTGACGCACCACTTGGGGAAGGTGGTGGCTTGATCCGCCGTCTCTCCCGGGTAGCGCGAGCTCCGGGGGCCCCCCCTGCCCTGCCCACGCAGCCGTGTTCGTCCTTTTGTTCTGCCCCCCGTTTTCGCCATGTTCAGGTTTTTGAGAAAAGTGGTTCTTTGCAACCTTTCCCGACCCTCGTAAGTAGTAAGCGTTGGTGTGAACAGCAAAATAAAGTGGTTTTCCCCGCTTCCTCGTTTTCAAAGTGCTGCTCTCATTCAGAAGGCTCTGCAGCCTGGCCGGCTATCAGGGAGCCCCAGCTGTGGAATTTTAAATCAGGCAAACATGGGCACCCACCTCTGGAGCAGCCTGGATCAGGCCTCAGCGGCTTAGCGTGCCTGCTGCGGCTTCCGGCTGGAGAACGAGATGTCCCGGGCGGAGCCTCTGGTTCCCCGGCCCAGCTCTGCCGGGGCTCTGCCTCGGCTCACAGGGAGCATCCGGCATGGGCGCTGCGTGTTCGGGAAGATGCAGAGCGGGGTGCTGAACCTCGTCATCTCTGAGTGCCACACTCGATTTTCGAGAAGCTCTTGGGGTGCTGCCTGCCAAGCTGCAAGTTGAACGCCCCCCCCCCCCACTTCAGCTTAAAGCTCTTGTGAGCTGAAGTCTTGGCGGGGCCGTTTCAGCCTTCAGGAGGTGCATTGAACCGGGGTGGGGGGGCTGAAGGTTCCTGCCGGGGGGCTCAGGAAGGTGTTTCCAGGAGTCCCAGGCGGCTGGGCTGGAAGGGAGTCCTCTGGGGGACGGGTGCAGAGCCGGGGGTGTTCCGCCCGGGGAAGGGAGGGCAGTGCGGGATGGGGGGGGCGGTTGCCCTCGTGAGGTCCCTGCTGCAAGGAATGGCAGGGGCCCTTGTCTGCTGCTGCCCCAGAGGGTGGGCCTGGACCAAAGTCGCATTTTCAGGAGGGTGGGGTTTTGTATGGGTGTCAAGAAAGCCTTCCTGGCCGTAACCGGGTGGAAGGACTCGCGGGGGGGGGGGGGGCGGAGCAGGAGGGGAACCGAAGCCAGGGATCCGACGCTACAGAGGCCCTCACCCCCAGGCTTTTATCCCCACACCGGGAATTTTATCTCCGCGAGTGCAGCGGGTCGGGCACGCAGCATCCGAGAGATTCAGGGCCCCCCACGAAAGCGCGGGAGGTCCGGTGTGCGTCTGCCACCCCAACACCACCGCTGCCTCCTCCCGAGCAAAACAAAACCGAAGCGTGTACAATCGATTCCCCCGCAATGCGCGCGCATGCGTCTGGGCATCCATGTGCGCACACACGCCCCAAGCAGCCTCAGAGGGAAGAAGCCTGGTGAGTCACAGGCGGGGGAGGGGCTCATTAAGCTTCCCTTTGATCAGAGGAAGAAGGCAGAATGAAGCTCCTGGCTGCTCCCCCCCCCCCCCCCCCCCGCCCAGCATGCTTTCTCCCTCTGAAACCCTAGTTGGAGATGGGTGTTGCTCGCCCGGGTATTCGAATGCCTCCCTCCCCATCAGGCAGACGGGAAGACCTTACCCAAAGCAGATGTGGGAAGGGCTCGCTCATCTCTCGGGAACCTGGTGCCCCCTGGGTGCATCGAGTGACCATCTCCATCATCCCCATCCACTGAAATGGCCATCCAGAGCACCTGCAGGGCAGGAAGCTGAAGCAGGGCAAATAACTCCCCCTTGGGGGCAGCTGCCACAGCCCTTTCTGCCTTCCTTCCTTTGATTAAAAGGTGCATAAACCAGAGCTGGCAGGCTCTTTGCGCCCAGCCTAATAGTTTGGGGGGGGGGCGCTATTGGGGAGCAGTTCATCTGGCTTGCAGTCCTTTTAGACACTGCATTTGGAGGTGCTTTAATTATGTGCAAAAAATAAATGAGCGCGGAGAAAAATGGTAGGGGGCAGGTTCCTCTTGCCCACCCGTGGCTGCAGGCTTGGGGGTGAATGTGTGGAGCCCAGATTGCAAGGTGTGTGTGTTGGGGGCGGGGCTGCCGAGCCAAATGGCACGATTCGGCCAGGTCCAAAAGGCTCCTTCAGCTCATGGATCCAAGTTAAATAGTTGGAGGGCAGAACTGGCGCTGTGGGTGGGGTGCCGGGTATTATTGGCGGCATCCTCATCCTCGCTTGGTGCCTCTTCCTCCCTTCCACCAAGGAGCTCAGGTCCCGGGCAGTGGGCCCTCCCCTCCACAGTCATATCTTCACAACAGCCTTACCAGGTAGGTTAGGCAGAAAGATTGGCCTTGCTCGAACTCCGGCTGCATTGCTTTTCTATCCACCCCCCCACACAGTTGGCCTGCAGAGCGCTGCTTTCTCTTCACAACAACTCCCCCGTGAAGTAGGTTAGGCTGCAAGAGGGAGCCACTGGCCCAAAGTTGCCTGGGGGGCTTCGTGGCTGGGGGCACCACAGCCTCGTTTTCCCAGGCCCCCATTACAGGGATCGTGCAGTGCCAAGCCCCCCCCCCCCCCGGACTGGGGAGGCTTCTTCAGCTGAACCCTCTTTGGCTTGGGTGTGGTGCAGGTGAAGAGTATTTATTTATTTATTAAAACATTTCTATGCTGCCCCTTGCCGAAGCCTCGGGGTGGCTCACAACACAAAATAAAATACAAAAATAACAATATAAAATTAACAATATAAAATAAATAACAATATAAAAGAAGTCGCCCTGGCCAGAGTAGCAGCTTGAGGGACTGCAGCCAACAGCCTCCTGGCCGGCCAACAGAAAAATGGCAGCCCTGAGGTAGAGGAGGACCCGGGGGGGGGGGGTAGCATCTTGCCTCGTGGCCCTCCAGCATATGAGCCTGGCACCCAGGGGCCTTCTGCATATCTGGGGACCATCAAGTCAAGGAGGAAGAGGAGGTGCAGCTGCAGAGCCCCAAAATCCAGGGCCTCTGCACATTGGGAATTCAAGGCACCTGTGTGGGATTTCGCATGTGTTGAACAAGTCCTCTTTGGGTTGGGGTTGACAGATTTCGCTTTTATCCCAGCCTTCTGGAGGGAAGCAGCCCCCATCCCATGGCATCGCAGTGTCATGTTCCATTTTATTTCCCCCCGATGGTTTGCTTCCCATCTCATGTCCTCCTATTTTTTGGTCTTCCTCCCCCGTGTGTCCCAGATGGGTGCTGATGGCAGCAGCCACGAGCCGAGCCGGCGATGGCTGTGACGCTCGGCCGTTGGAGTGCTGAGGCAGAAGCAATGCTTTTGCATCCCTTGGCAAAATTAGACATAATCGTCCAAGCATCGTGCCCTTGCTTTTTATTTTATCTCATTTTTGCTGCTATTGCCTCTGAGTCATCAGGCTCAAAAAGCCCTGTCGTGTTGCGTTTCTTCTCCATGAAAATGAGCTCGGCAGAATCCTCTTGTGGTGTGGGGAGACACGAGCCTGCTCTAAAGAGGGCATCGGAAAACGAACGTAATTTTGCAGAAACTTCTCAAGTGTGCTGTTTACGACTGTAAAAGCTCCTACCGCTGGCCAAAGGGCCGCATCATGGTAATGAGGGGGTAATTATCGGGGAGGGGGGTGGCTTTGCTAAATTAATGCTGGAAAGAAAGAAATGGAGGTCAGGTCAAGACATTCCGAAAAACTGTTAGGAGTGGACAAGCTGACCCAAAATGGAGCAATTTCAGTCTGGGGGAAATTACATTAATGTGACAAAAAGGCTCCCATTTGTGGGGGTGATTTTAATTAAATGTTCTCTCCGCCGAGCTACAGCTGAAATGGCAGATGCATGGCTCCCGACGGGGTCAACGAGGCCAGCTGCAAGCTCCCCCCACCCCCAGCCTCATTTGCAAGCCTCCCAGTGCCCGCCTGTGCTGCTTTTCCAGCTTCGGTCCCCGGCTGAGCATTGCCCTGGGAAATGCAAAATGGAGGTTCACAAAACCAGTTTTGGACACCTGTGTAAGGCCTTGCTAGTTGTCCTGGCATTCCAGTTGTCTGCACCAAACCCAAGTACCCGTTTCCGGTCATTTTTCCTGTTAAATGAGTCTGTGTGCTCCATCTTTGGGATTCAAATAGATGGCTTGCTTGGGAGCTGGGTGGGTGAGATCTCGCGAGCTTGGACCCCCCGGGGCTGGCTTTCCTGCAGCCAAAGTCTTTTCAACATGGCGTGTCAGTCGTGTAGACAAATGCTTCAATTCTTGTGCAGGGCAAGGGTGTCCTTTAGAAAACTCACTGCTCTTGTCGTTAGCCAAATCAAGCTGGCATGATGGGGCTCGTAGATGAAAACTTCTGAAAAGGCACCAACCCACCAGATGGGTTTTTTCCACGTGGCCCTGCTCCTTTGGCCTTCAGTCCCACCCACCCCCGGATGTGGCCCCCGAGGGTGTCTTTGGGCTGAGAGAGGTTCTGCACCCCGTGTTAAACCACCGAGCACGGGCCTGGCTCTGGAGGCAGTGGCGGGGTTGGGCATTCGTGGGTGAGTCCGCCAGCAGAAGGGCAGATTTCTGCAGTGGTTCTGTGTTTGGGCCTTGCAGGACAGGTGCCTGATGCGGAAGCTCAGCAGAATGGGCAGAGCCGCAGCCGAGGGCTGCCCAAACCGGTCTGCATGAACGGGACAGAGTCAGGCCAGTTGAGCAGCAAGACGAAAGGCGAGCGGCGGGCGAGCGCCTCGTCCAACCCTTCCCGCAAGCCCTCCTCTGCCGGCAGCAAAATCCGCAAGCTTTCTACCTGTAAGCAACAGTGATTTGGGGCCCGTGGCCCGCCACAGGTGCGTAGCCTTTCCTTCCTAAGCTAGGAGGTGGCAAGCCTGCCCGTGGGTTTTCTTTGAGACTTAGCAGGGGCAGCTGGCCAGGCAGAACAGCCTCCTGACCGTTCCTCTCTGGTTTGGTTCCTGAACCCAAATCCAACCAAGCAGTGTGGGGCTTGGTACAGCCAGTGTGTGGAATGGAAGAGGGGACATGGCGAGGGGCAGCGTCTGCTTTACGGAGCTGATAGGGTTCTGAGCAGTGAGAATCGCATCAGTTATCCGAAAGATACTCTGACCTTAATCCGTGCTAGATTGTACATTATGGTGGGACCAGGCAAAGCTCAGTATAGGTAGCTAGCCCACCGGGGAGGCTGCGGCATGTTGCTTCTTGAACCGACCATCTGTCCCTTCCCTGCTTCCCAGGCCCCTTTTTAAGCTGCCACTGATAGCCCTACGCGAGCAGGGTCCTTCTGACCCAGTGTGGCAACCTTGTGGGGCAGAGAACCGGAGCCCTCCTTGTCACAGCTGTCAGCCCACTGCATCGTCTCGGGTCTCCTAGGGACTGTTTGAGTTCTGGCTTAGAATAAAACATAAAAAGGGAGGCTCATAATAACTCATTTTGGATCCTACCCAAGGATAATTTTTGATGTGCCAAGGCCTGGATCTGTGGGGAAAGCTGAGCTGAGTGTGGATACTTCTGGGGGCGCGCTGTGAAAGCGAGGGGGCCCCCAGGGCCACGTGCCACATCCGGATGACGTCCACTGCTGCCTCCCCCCCGCCCCTTCTCTTTTCCATCCCTGCAGATGGGTGGAAGATCTCTCTCCTTTGTCATTCCCGGCCCTGCTAGCTCAGCCGTAACCAACCCTCCTTCCTGGCTGCTTCTGCACGGCTCTCCTGATTCATAAGCGCATCTCGAAAAATGATTCCTCTGCCCGCCCCCGCCTCGGCTGGCCTCTGGCCGTGCCACGCACACGCAGCCGGCGCTGGGAGCCTTGGCTTCTGCTCAGGCCTCCTGAGTCCGTTTTGTAGCGTTCCCCCGCCTGCCTTCGCAGCAGCCAGGCCGGCATTCAAAATTAATCCTCAGAGAGCTTTGTCAGTAAGGTTCATTTTAAACGCAAATGATTCTGTACCTCTGCAAGATCCTAAAATATATTTGTCGAGAGAAGTCGGAAGCTTGCTGGGAGGTGGCATCTTATTCAACCCTGAGGCAGAAGATTCCTAGAAAAGTTTAGACAGAATTTCTAAAACTGCAGCAACCTGCTCAGAGACCTCCAGTTCTAGGATGCAGCTGCAAGGGAACTTCACCCTGCCATGATGCTTTGAGCCCCTGCCTCTCAGCCTGGCCTACCTCACAGGGTTGCTGTTGTGAGGATAAAATGGAGACCTTTACAAAGCTGCGTTGGTTTCATGCAGGGAAAAAGGCAGGGTAGTTAAGAAATAAAATCAACAAACTTCTCTTACCATCAGACATGCTTTTTGTTTCCCCTGATGGTGGAAATGGTTTCCCTAATCATTTGGAAATGATTAGGGGATGGCGGAAATGGTTTCCCCTAATCTGCCCAGCGGCCTCTTGGTCTAAGGACTGGCACAGAACACGTTTCCATTGTGTGCCCTGTATCCTATCCTGTACAACAATCTCTCAGGGATGTGGTGGTGGGGTGACTTTTGGCTGCCTCAAGGGGCATGTTTGGAAGAAAGGCACAGTTAAATCAACCCAATGAAATGTTGGCCTCTCCTTGGAATGAGCCCACCAGGCTCCTCAGCCTCTCCTTATGGAAAGGACTGGGGGACTCACCCCAAGCTCCTGAGGCCACATGCTGCCCTTCCTCGAGGTGCTCCTGCGAGGCTCCGGCGGAAGGAGCCAAGCTAGCAGGGCGTGCTCTCACTTCTCTTTCACCGTCCGCAGCCACAGCCCCGTCGTGTGTGGTCCCAGTGGCCACCGGCATCCTCCTCATCCTCATCGCCTCCTCCTGGCCCCTCCTCTCCCCTTCCGCCCCAGAGCGACGATCCATCGAACCCGCTTGCAACGAAAGCAAGACTGAGAGAGAAGACAAGGAGAACCCCTTTTGCTCGCAAGAGCGGGACAAAGCCGCCACGGACGTCCACGCTCCGCCAGCCACTCTTGGCGAGGTCTTCCTATGCCAAAGTTTGTCTGCGTTGTCAACTCTCTTTTCCGGGCGATTGTTGCCGGGACTGTCACGGGGGCTTCGGTGAGGTGGGGGGACAGGATGGGAAGGTAGGCTTGGGGGCCAACTCCTGTGTTGCCTTCCCAGGTGTGTTTAGAAATTTTGCAAGCCATCAAAACGCACTTTATGTAGTAGACTACTGTTATAAAATATATATATATTATATTTTTTTTCCTTTTTGCCCCCCTCCCCCCCGTCCTGTTCCTCCCTGCCCCCATTTGCTTTGGTTTATACTTGCGATATCTCTAGAGACTTAACCTTTACACATTGTGATGTGTTTGAGGCAAAAGAGGGGAGGGCACGGGACATTAAGAGGGGTTTAAGGGGAAAGGGGGGGATTCAAACCGGTATTTAAAACCAACCAACAACCACCACGCTCTATGAAAGCAAAAATGTGCATGCTGTCTCTAAGGGCTGGAGCAAAGGGAAAAACGAGTGCTTTTTTTTTCTTTTTCTTTTTTAAAAAAGAAAATAAAGTTGAAATGGAGAAACCAGGTTTTGGAGCCTGTTTGTGTGACTTGCGGGGGGTGCGGGGAGGTCGTGTGTCTGGAAAACCTCCTGGTCTTTCCGGCTGTCCCTCCTGCACTGATCCAGCCCCACGTGGCCAGCACCGAGGGATGGTACGATCGCAGGTCCCGCTGCTGAGAGTCCACCGGGTGCGCCCCTCTCTACCAGTGCAACAGCGGCAGCGAGAAGAGAGGGGCGGTCCCCTTGCGCTGTAGATCGTGACCTTCCAAGACGAGCAGGAGGAGTCAGACCAGCCGGTGGTCACGGCAGTGAAATGGTCAGCTCAGCAGAACCCGTGAGGCCTGTGGAGTCTGAGGGTCTCCAAGCTTGACCTCGGCGCTGGGCATGTGCTGATGCAGGCAGAGCTGCGTGATGCCCGCTGGGTGTCTCTGTCTCTTTTCGATTTATATCCTGCCTTTTTCCTACAAAGGGCTCAAGGCAGCTTACATCATTCTCCTCCTCCATCTCATCCCCACAACAACCCTGTGAGGTAGGCTGGGCTGAGAGTCTGTGACTGGCCCAAAGCCACCCAGTTGGCTCCATGGCCAAGCGGGGACTCGAACCCGGATCCTCTGAGTCCCAGTCCCATGCTCTTAACCACCACACCACACTGGAGTGTTGCCTGGCCCCCGCAGGCGAGAGCTTTGTGCAGAGTTGTGGTGGTCCAGAGGAGGAGGGAACGTTTAGGAGGAACAAGAGCGGAAGCAGAGCGTGGGCTCCTCGGTGCTCCTTCGGCTTTTGGGGAGGGTGGGCGGGGGCCAATCCTGCAGCTACAGAGCACCCAGTGCTGCTAGGCCTGCTGTGCTCCTGACCCCGTGCCTCGGTCCCTGGCGGACTCTGGTTTGCTGGGTCCTGGTAGCAGCCGATCGAAAGGCCAGCCTGGGCGGCTGAGAGGGACCAGTGTCTGACCCAGCGCTGTTTCTGCAGGCCTACTCGGAACAAGGCCCCCTGGTTCCTCATAGAGCAGGAGGTGTCGGGCGGTGGTCTTTGGGGACAGTCTTGCCCGCCCCCTGATTTTGAGGGCTGCCTAGCCATGCTCAACACCCAACCGACTTGGCACCCGACTTCAGCTGCTGGGAAGAAACTGTGTCGGGGATGCTTGGTTATTGTCTTTTGGATCTCTGTCCTCTGCCTTAGAGCACCCGTGTTGGACTATGTGTCCCCTTATCCCCAGCCACTTGATGGGAGTTGTGGTTGACACGTCTCGAAGGCACCGGCTTGGAGAAGGTCCTGCAGAAATTGCAGGAGCCAACCATTCATGTCTACTTTTAATGGAAGGCAGAACATGGATCTGTCTCAGCCTGTTAAAAATTCAGCAAATTTAGAAAATATCCTCAGAGAAGGACATGGAAAGGCATCCATCTGTAATAGGGGCAGCACACTTTGCACATGCTCAAAAGCTATGCACAAAGACTGAAAGGAGCAGCTGTTAAAGGGAGCTTTGGGTCTGATGTTGTTGCCTTTCAGTTTGGTGGTGTGGGAGGAGGGCTGGGGGTGGAATCCTAATTCTGTGCCTGCTGCAGCCAGATTTCCTGGAAGGTAACAAAAGGATATCAGGAGCAACAAAAAGGGCCTCTATCAGCATGTAAATAGGAAGAGGAAGGGGAGACAAGTGGTGGGACCACTAAATAAGGAGGAAGGGGATCCAGTGACTGATATGAGGGAACAGGCACAGATGCTAAATGACTGTTTTGCCTCCGTGTTCTCCCCAAAGCAGGACGGGGGAGATCCACATAGGAGATCAGATGAGGCTGGGGACTTAGGGGCACAGATTAGTAACCCCCCCACCCCAGAAGTCAAGGGGCTCCTCAGGGCACTGGACATTACAAAGGTGCCGGGCCCTGATGGGTTACACCTGAGAATGCTCTGAGAGTTGGCAGGGGTTCTCTCACGCCCGCTGGCCTCCATTTTTGAGGCCCCCGTGGAGAATGGGTGAAGTCCCAGAGGACTGGAGGGTGTCGTCAGTGGTCCCAATTTTCAAAAAGGGTAGTAGAGGGGACATGGGGAATTACCAACCAGTTAGCCTCACGTCCATTGTAGGAAAAACAATGGAAAGGCTCATAATAGAGAGAGATCTAGTGATGCTAGATAGGGAAGGGAGGCTGGCGGCCACACAACACGGCTTCCGCAAAAACAGGTCCTGCCAGACAAACCTTGTGGAATTCAATGACAAGGTTTGGGGGTGGCTGGATGGAGGGCATGCAGTGGATGTGGTTTACCTGGATTTCAGCAAGGCCTTTGACAAAGTGCCCCATGATATCCTGGTGGAGAAACTGAG